TATCTGAGCATTAGTCTGATTTTTTCTCGCTTGCTCCAGTCTTTTATACCCTTCTCAGTTGCCCTTGGTGATAATTGTTTTGTGATAAACTCCACCTACATCAATGGGCCCTCTATCCTGGTACTGTATATAAGCACCTCATTCAGATGATTTTATCTCTTTTTCAATGAAGCATCACTAACAGGTTTCCCAGTATTACAATTGTTCGAAGATACTTTGAACGTTATCATGTTATCTAGTTGATTTCATAATAACTAATAATTTGTAAAAAATATTTTTTTCATTCAATTATGTTATGAATTCCCAGATTATTATTTGGGTCTCTCCTCTCCCACCTCTGATATCTAACATCGCACGAGAATCAGGAGAGAGGGGGGGGGTCACTCTCGGTTGAGACTGTCAGCAATCTTATTCATAGTGAGATGGATACATATATAATCAGTTCTGTGGTGGTTCTCTTGGGGACTCTGAGGCTGCAATTGAGGGTGATCCTTGACATTTAGGAGAGACTTTAGATTCGCTTTTCCGTATGTCTTCTTTTGGTCTGTTGGATTTTGAGCCTCCCCCCCCTGTGGATCAGTGGTACATTTACAGACTCACAGAGCTGGGGTCCGAGGTTCAATTCCCTAGGGTGGACATGGCAGATGGCTCAAAGTTGCTTTGCTCTAACAAGACAACTTACTTTACCTCAGAAACTACTGTTTGAATCAATGATAATCACCAAAGTCTTCAAATGATGTATGAAAAACAAAAAGGAGGCCACTTTGGGATAAGCTGCCATTGATTTATTTTCTTCTGTTGGTTCATCGATGGTGTGATGTTTTGGGCTCTTTCCTGGTTGCTTTTGAACCTGCACCTTACTTGAAGACTAAAAGGTCTGGGAGAGAAAACTTCTTTCCATCCATAGATATTGGGGTTAATGTTGGGAGATTTACTTCTAAAGCAGAATTTGTAGTTAACCTGAATAGATCAATGTCCCCAGATGGGATATGGTAAGTTCACAGACTTACAACTGTAAAATCCAATATTGTGTTTTCCTTTCATTTTGTTGGAAGACTCTCAGGATCATCAACAACAAGCTGGATCCATTGTTAGCATGCACATTGATTCAGTTATTGGCTTCTACATTCATCCCTGTTGTTGTTGGTGTCTTGAATTTCATCTGCTCCTACTGAGGGTCATAGTTCCCCCCATATTTGTGGGTCCCGACCCCTGACATCAGCCCTTCAGTACATTTGTACCCAAAATAGATTCTGTCTATATCCAAGGGTTCTGCTGCATGATCAGATCATCACCAGAGATGTCAGTGATTATTGTATCCCTTCAGGATCTGTGGGAGCTCGGCACCAAAATTTTCTGGACAGGTGGTAACCTTAACCACGGGTCTAGGAGCACTACAGGTCCTTCAGTAATGATTTGTCTTTCAGTTCACATCTACACCATTATCCACTCAACCTGTAGTGTTTCCGTCTCCTGCAGATTTGGAACTTAGTTCTAGGCCTATCAGAGTTTGGTTGGTCTGGGGGTAGTGAGAGAGTCGTGCTAGTTCTTCCAAGGTTTTATTCCCGTTGGTTGGTTGGCTTCAGAAGACAGGAGACTGGTGTCCAGTCATCGATCTTTCTTGTCTATATCAATGCCTAGATTCTCCAATTTTCAAAAGTTACTCTTTTTTTCTATCTGAGTTGACATTTTACTGGGATTGTGGATGTCCAAGTTCATTGTAGTCAGCTCCTATCTGCACATTGCCATAGTAGTTTTTTGTGCCTAATGATCAGGTATTGCAGTTTCGAGTTTTTACTTTTTACTGGCTTATTAAGGGGAAAATTGTTAGGCCTTACTCTGACAATTCCATGGTGGTGTCTTGTGTTTCTCATCCAGGAGGCACTTGGTCCAGGGCTCCTTGTTTTTGAACCTTGGATCTCCTTTCTCAGGACCACTCTTATCATATCACCTTACTAGCTTGCAATGTTCCATGGTTGATGTCTGCAGTAGCAGGTCTCAATCGAAACATATTCTCCCAACAGAATAGATGCTGCATCGCAAGATTCTGTTGGATTGGCTTTCATTTTGCAACTGTGATTTGTGGGTTGGCCTCTCATTGGATCACCCAACTGCTGGCAAGTTGGTCTCCAGTACCTCACATTTGGGCTTTGGCAATGGATGCATTCCATCAGGACTGGATGGGATTACAATTCTAGGCCTTTCCTCCAATTCATATGTTACCCAGGTTACTAAATATGATTTGTTCCAACCCACTGTTGGGTCCTGTTGATAGCACCAGATAGGCAGACATGATCTGACATGGTACATCTGGCTATCCAGAAGCTCAAGCTTCAGGCATAGAGGTTATGCAGTCTTTCGCACAGCATCGGGTTTAATTTCTAATGTTGCCATGTATCTGTCTCAGTTTTTGCTTAATCCTGAGATGGACATTTATCAATGAAAATTATATTGGCAATGGTGTGTTTGAAGGAGTTTGAATCCCCTTCAATCAAATGTGCCAACCATAATTAATTTTTTGACCTGGCTCTTTGGCAGGGTATTTGCTTCCTCCACAATCTCTCCTGTTTAAGGCGGCCTTATAGACTACCATTCGATTCTTGTGACTAAATATTCTTTGAGTCCCCAGTACTTTCTGGATTCCTCAAATCACTTTGGGTCTTTTGTCCCAAATGACCATTCCAGTTACCATACAGGTATATTAAGGTTACATTACATAAGGTTGGTTTGCTTTTAAAAATTTAGGAAACTTGGTTCATTTATTACACTGTTACCAGAGCACTGTTCCTCAGGGCTCCCCAACGTGCATTATCCCCCAGATTATACTAATGGAGCTAGGGATTCCTTACCACACTTAGTTTCCAGTCACTGGGATGATGGACAGAGGCTTTTCCTCCAGATTGTTACAGTGAATTCCTCTACTTTTGGAGAAGAGGATGAAGTTGGGGCCCTCCTACCTAGATCCCTGGATGTTTTTTCCAGATGTTGGTAAGAGTGGAACCAGCCTATGCGGGAGCCTACTCACAATACCTGTTCAGATTTGATGCTTTGCTATCTAGTTTGGTTAGGTGTGGCTCTTTTTTTTATCAATATTGGTTCAGTACACTGTTCATGGAAGGAGGTCCACTATCTCCTCATAATTCCAAACACAGAGTTGTCCCATCCTGGGTCCTTGGTTGAGCACAGTTGTTCCACATCTTCCCCATAATTCTGGGGGCAAGAGGAATTTACCTTGCCCACATGGTCAGGGAGAGAGGATGAGTGTTCATAATTCCAGACCAGATTTTTTCTGTTTCCTCAGGTTGAGTAAGGCATACACGATCCCATCATTCCGAGCCTGGGATATAGGGACCATGGCCCTATAATTCCAACCTTGAATAGTGGAACCTCAGCTATCAGGTTGGGGCCTGGACTATAGTGTTTATATGTCAGGTAAAATTCCAACCACAATACAGGAATTACGTTCCGGGTGAAGAGCATACCTGTTCTGGATGTAGTGCTGTTCCCCCACTAGGGTGCTAATCTTCTATCGACACACCCATGATCTATGCAGATGCTTTCTGCACAGATAATGTCCTCACGGGCACCTCCACCTTATCAATGTAGGATTCTAGCTATAAGTGGGAGTGATGTATGTTTTAAAAGTTAACATTTTCTTAAAACGAAAATTTATATCCAATAATACTTACCTCCTTTTTCACTCTCTTGCCCTTCCTCCCCACTTAGAGCTGGTGTTAGAGACTGGGATTGAGTCAGTCTCAAAAAAGTGATAACATTATCTGAATGAGGTGCTTCTATACAGTATCAGGATAGAGGGTACATTGACATAGGTGGAGAGTGGCATGAGATAACTATCAGCAAGGGCAATTGAGTGGGGTATAAAAGACTGGAGCAAGTGAGAAAAAAAATCAGAACAATACTTAGATGGGCAAAGAAGAAACCTCGGCAGTCAAGTAATAACTATAAGTGTGAGAGGAGTTAAGTTTTATTGGAAATACATTTTCGATTTCAGAAAATGTTAACATCCATTATCTGTTGGTAACACTGAAATTGGCTCAGTGGTTAGATCACCCGAATCTAAAGTGGAAGTCTCTCATTCAAGTCCCAGTCCAGTTGGGATTTTTTACAATTTTTTATTTATAACTGGTCGTGATTTAGAGAAAGCTCTTTCAATATTTGGAAAAAAACAGAGTACCATGATAGTTTAAATTAGGGATTTGAAATATTACTTAACATTGGATTTCAAAGACTGGACGTGAAAATGGTTCAACAGTTACAATGCTCAACTCTCACGAGGAAGTCTCACATTCAAATCCCAGTTGAGTCGGGAATTTGTGTTAAA